CCCTGAGCCAGCCCTGCCCCTGGCACTCACCTGCCCGCGTGGGCGGGGGGCAGGCAGCAGGAGGTGACCCCGGTGCCCCGGGCCGTGCGGGGGTTGAGGGCGAGCAGGCGGAAGGCGGGGTTCCCCTCGGCGTGGGGGTGGCTCACAACAACAAACAGCAGGCCCTGGGGCACAGAGCAAAAACAGATCACTGAAAACAACACCCAGAGGGGAAAAAAACCAAAGAATTTCCCAAAAATTAATTGCTACATTCTCTCCACAATCAAAGCCCCACGGACAGTGATGCATTATTCTTACCAAATATGCCAGAAATGGTTTATTTTCCATGTCAAATGAGATAAAAACCAAAGCAGCTGCTGACTGATAAGGGCTGATGCAACACAGCAGCACGACAGGTCAGTGACCCCACGGATTTATGCCCTTATCTTTCTGCCTGAAAAAGCTAAACTCAATGTAGGATGAAGTGACGTTTAAAGTAAAATTTCCAAGCCTCATTTTAATCCCTGGGAGGTTAAAATTTGACAAGAATTCCATGCAAAGCAGCAGAGCTGAAAAGAGCAGCTGTTAAGTGGGTCCAGGCCCCATGAAATAGGCTGGGACTGATGCTCCAAGGAAGTCTCCAAAAAGACTGGCTCAAGCCATCTTTACAAGGGGACATTCTTGTCCCAGAGGGTTAAATGCTCACTGAAAACAATAAAATCCTCAATAAACCACAAAAATCCATCTGGAATGACAGCACAGGTGGAAGCAAGTGGGAAAGAACCATTAGTATAACTCCGGGTTTTAAAGAGTTCCTATCCTCAGGGCTGTATGTAAACAACAACCATCCCAAACAGGTTTTCCAGCCACAGCAGCGTGCCACCACCACGCCAGCAGCGACCTGCCCTGCAATGGAAGAGCCTTGCCAAGCCCTGGGGGCAGGCAGCACCCCCTCTGCCCCCCACCCAGCAGCTGCTGCTCCGGGACACGCGGCGATGCAGCACTCACGCCTTGCTGGCGCCTCGCGCTGAGCCGAGGATCCGAGGTGACCCCTGGGGCTCACTTCTCCTGCTTGGCCCGTTTGCCTCTGAAACGTCTGCAGCGCATCTGAACGGAGCTGGAGTTCCAGCCCACCCTGCAGCCCCAGCCCCTGGAGCCCCAGGCAGGCCGTGGGGCAGGCTGCACCTACCGAGCTGGAATACGCGCGGTGGCAGACGGGGGCTGGGTAGGAACAACCAACGTCCATCTTCTTCAGGAGCTGGCCCGTCTTCAGATTCCTGCAGTTGGTGAAAACACAAATTCTGACTCCATTTCCATCCTCAGTCTGTTATTTTCTCATCACAGTGACACTGCTGTGCAAGACCAACACATTTTGGTTCCACAGCAACCAAACTAGGACAAGAGGCAAGTACGATGCAAAAGCCAGTGGGATTCCATCAGCATCGTTCAACCCCTGTCCCGTGCAGAGGCTCAGGTGCCAAAGTGTGGCCCTTTGGTGCCAGCTCACAGGGAGAGCAGCAGGCAGGGAACCCCCGTGCAGCCACCACCCACCCCTGAGCTGAGCCCCGTCGCTGCACAGGGAGCACTGACCAGACAACAAGGCTGTGTGCTGCTGTGGTGCCCACCAAGGCGTCCCTCTCCCCTTCCACTTCAGCAAAAGCCAGAACAGTTTCTTTGGGGGGCATCAGGGTCTGTCCATCCTTGCTCCTGAACAGCAGATTATCGAGTGAGACAAGGCAGTTGAAGTAACAAGTACATGTTCTGTACTCAGCACATCTCTGAGAAGAGGAACCTCACACACTCCTACATCTGAGATGGTTCCTTACTTTTCTTCCACCTGCCACACTGAGACACCCCCAAAATCAGCAGCCTCACCTTCCTGTCTCTGAAAGTGACACTATCTCCACTCGCTGCTCCTGCAGGGTCCTGCTGCTGCTGACCAGCCTCCTGCCCTTCAGCCCAAGGACAGCTTTTATTGTTTCAGTTTTTATTGGCACTTGCTTGAATGAGTCGTTCTCAGAAGAATAAAGCAGGAGCCTACAGTGAGGGAAAAGCATGTCCAATGACAGAAGGAAGCACAACTCACATGTGCCACAGCATATAAAAATCAGCACATTTAAACAGCCTGCCACCCCTAGGGCAGAATAAGCAAATCTTTACAGCTGGTTTAGAAGCCCCTTCACATTAGTAAGAGATCATTTCAACCACTGCACACGAGGAGAGTTAAGTTGCAGCTATTGAGGGTGCAAAGTGCTAGTAAGAAATAAATACAAAACCTTATTTCTCCAATCTCCAAATCTCCCAGTGCTATACACATGAGATTGCAGGTGTCTGGCAGAGGAACGATCTGGATTACAGGCACCTAGGACAGCAAAACAAGAATTCAGTGTCACCCACAATGTCCCTTTGACTTTATTCCAGTGTTTCACATAAAATGACGTGGAGCAGAACCAATTTTCAGATCCCTTGGAAGAAGCACCTGTAGTTTAACAGCTGAATCCTCTGCTGTTTACCTAATCAAACAGTCCCTGTTGCTGTAAGAGAGAAAAGGTGACTCCCAGGAAGGAAAAGGGAAGAGCACAAGCCAGGGGCTGCAGCCACCACCCAGTACAGGAGGTACCAATTCCAGCAGGTAACACACGGCCACAGGGGCTGTTGGCCTTCTCCATCAGCAGTGCAAACCATCCTCCTCTCTGGTCTGATGGAATGGAAAATTTATGCCACCTAAAGAACTTCCCTTGCACCCAAGACTGCACACTCCTTTTATCTCAGAAACTAACACATGGGATGAGAAAACTGTGCCAAATTCTAGAAATAAGGGTTGTGCCCACACCTCTCCGAGCTGCCACGTATGGACCTTTTCCCAGCGGTCGGATGCCAGAGGTTTCCAGAGGGAGACAGAGCTCTCACAGGCAGTCACCACACACAGCTCTCTGCAGCCAGCTGCCTCCCACCACATGGTGCTCACATCCACGGCACAGGAACCAGAAGAATCCTGCCCAAAACAAAACAACACTTTTATTCTGACAGACACCGTTACCCAACCCGGGGGCTCAGCCTGAGAGAAACACTTGACATCCAGTGTGATGGAAATCTGAGGCTAAAGCTTAAAGTTTACCATGTTTAATTTTGAGTAAAGTCCCAGTAAGGCACCGAGGAAAACAAGCCTGGTGGGCTTCACCCTCAGAGCAGCAAAGTCTCACTTCCCAAATATCCCTTATCATCTGAAAGGACAGACACCCAGCAGAGCCCAGAGCTGGGCCAGGACTGGGGGAATGGTGGCACCACCACAGCAAAGCCCAAGTGCCATCCACCTGCTTCCCTTCTTGCACAAACAGGACTTGCAGTAGCAGAGTTTTAACTGAGCCAAGCAAGGACCCTCTTGTCCCCCCTCTAAAGAAGCTCCCAGCTTCAGCCACGTTTCTGTTGGCTGGTTATGCCAAGCCCTCAGGATTGCTTCTGGGGCAAAGCTTCACACTCTGGTCTGGGAAGTTAAAGGTGGCCCAGCCTCTAGGAGGCTCAGTGGGCTTACCCACAGATGTTGCTTCCTTGCTGCCAGCCCCTCTCTACCCACCATGGGACAGAGGACAGTGAAGGGACAGCACTGCATGAGGAAGAGCCCGTGGCCCAGCTGCACAAACAGTCCTGGGCAAGAGCTGCTTTGCTCTTGGCATGTGCAGTGGAGGCTCCATTGCAGAGGGGTGTGAACATCAGCACGTGGATTTGGCAGTGCTGTAGTTCCCCCCTCAAAACCTGCTCCTTGCTGGGTTAAATAGTGCCTACAATGGTGACAGGAGGCCACAGGAGCCACAGGACATGCAACAGGGGTACAAGGGCCACGACAGTTTTACCTGGGGCTGAAGGAAAATGCAGCAGTTCTGCTTGTTCAGACATTTGGATCTGTTCAGACATTTGTTCTTCAGAAACACACCCTGACATCCCTTATCAGTCAAAAGGAGACACAGCAGCCTAACCTGTCAGTGTGCTTTACCACAAGGGAAGGCAAAGCTGAGCCAGTCAGCCAGCAATTTTGTTCAACTAGCCAGTCTGCATCTTTTATTGTTAAACTTGGTATCAAAGAGCTGCTGCTGACTCTGTAAACAATCACCCAACGTTATCCCACCTTTAGCTTGGATACAAGCTGCAAGCTCTCTTCTGTCAGGCCATCAAGCAGTACTGGAGTCAAACGTTCTGCTACATCTTTTTTCTGCACAAAAAAAGTAAAGAATGAGGATAATTCAGCTTTGAAGTTACACTCAGCACCTGCAAGAATGAGGCAGAAGGGTGCACTGACTCTGCATGTCATTGCTGGAGAGCTCTTTCTGTACTTGCATGTCTTTTAGCACCACTCTGCACCTCTCAGCCTTCAGAAACCAGCCCCTCCCTCAGTACCCACCTGCCATGGGAGTCATTTAATCTTTACCAACTCCCAGCTGAAGATTTTCCCTTAGGTGGCAGACCAGCACCACGTGGGTACCACAATTTTTTTGTTCACATGCACATTTCAAAGACGCCTCCTGCAACAAGCACTGAAACCTCCCACCTCCAGTTTCACCAAGCAGGATTTAAAGAATTTGCTCCTGAAGTCAAAAGAGCTCAGGCAACAGATGAAAACCAAACATTTACTAAGTCAGCTAAAAGGCAGCAAGCAGGGCTGGCACGCAGAGAGGTCCTTCCCCTGCAGTCAGGGCAGAGGCTAGAAGAGGGATTTGCCCACAAAACCACTGGCTTGTTACCTGTTCAGGAGAAGCTCTGCAGGATCTCTGCTGTTTGCTCTCTGACTGCTGATGCTTCTCCAAGGCCACAGCCTCATCAGAGTTACTACTGGGACCTCCTTCAGGTTCTACTGGGAACCCTGCACCGTGTTCCTCCCCTTCTCTAGCAGATCCTGCTCCACAGCTGCCCAAGGGCAGTGGCAGGGCAGAGTCTTTGCACTGCCCATCTCCCGGGGCCAGGGCAGGTGCTGCTCTGCAGGAACGTGGGCTCTCTGGGGAGGGAGGTGCAGGAGGTGAGGTGGGGAGGAGCTCGCTGTGTGCCGAGGGTGCAGCAGCTGGGGTGGCACCCACGAGAGGGAAAACAGAGGAGGACACCTGGGACTCAGGCTGAGTGGGAGCACCAGCTAGGGCAGTCCCCACGGGAGTAAACAGCAATTCATGGGTGCAAAGCTCCTTCCTGGAAGCTGGGCTTCCTACGCTGGGTAACCCGGGCAAGGCAGTTTTGAAAGGCAAAAGCAAATTACTTTGGAGAGTTTTTTCTCCTGGATTCATCTGTGGAAGCTGTGTGTCCTCCAAAGCCACACCGTCCTCAGACACACCAGGAACAAAAACCTCCAGGTCACTCACAGGGGAAGATTCTAATTTCTCAAGTTTTAGTAGTCCAAATTCCTCGTCTGGTAAGTGAAAGTCTCTGAGGCCCAGTGTGGGGCCCAGCCCCTGGAGGCTGCTGAAGGAGAAGAGAGAGCTGCAGGTGCTGGGGTCCACAGCAGAGAGGCCAAGGGAAGCAGGACCCTCTGATCCCACTGGAGAGCTACGTCCTCTTTTGCTCTCCTCTAGACAAAACAAACACAAGAACACAAGAGAGAGAGAACATCACATCATAAAATAACCACTAAAGAGCCTTTTCAGGATCTCTCATCCAGAGCATCACTCTATTTTCAAAAACAAAAAAGAACCACCCCCAAGTAGCCAGCTTAACACAGGGCAGTGGCACTTTCGTGGAAAGAGACCACACTCTGCAACTGCTCTGCACTAAACCTTCCACTCAAATCCCATTCCAATCCCATCCCCAGAGCTGCCAGGACTGACTGAGCACAGCACAGCAAGGGCTGCTGACAGTTCCCAGCCCTGCCCCTCAGCCCTGCCCGTCACTGTGCTGAAGCAGAAGTTTCTGGAATTGCTCAGGGAACGTGGGCACCACAAGGATCTAAATTTTTAAAAAATGTCTCTTATTTACAAAAAAACCCCAAAGCAACCCTGTTAGCTCCTATCAGATTTTCCTGGATAAAAAAGCCCAGCCCTGTTAACTGCTATCGGATTGCCCTGGCTGAAGCCCCCAGGCAGGGTGTGGGCAGTGGTGCTGCTCCCTGGGCTGCTCCCTGCCCTGCTCTGGGGCAGTCCCGGCAG